TCAGCAGGGAGGTATCTCCATTCACTTGGGATTCAGATTTTCACATGCTTAATGTTCAGAATCCTCTTTTTAATACTCTCAAGAAAACCTGTGTGCTTTCCAATTCAAAATCACGTAAGTCTCTGCTCAGCAGAAATGTAAATGTTTTGGTAAAGAGGGTTCTTAACAAGTTTGATTCATTTAATCAGCTTGATTAATGGCAGGGCCTTTAATCAGGCAGGACTTACAGTAAATTGATGTTTTAAGTAATTTTATAAAGAACAATGGGACAGACAGGATCCTGCCATCTCAGCTGAATGGTGGGTGCCCTCCATTGTGCAGAAGTCATATTTCTTACTGAGGTTGGTGCCTCCCTGTGCCACAGTGTACACATTTTGGATCTCAGTTGTCCATTTGGTACTGAGCAAACAGTTTAGGCATGGCAGAACATTTAGGCACCATTAAGAGGAGCAAGGGTCTTAGCTCAAGGCTTTGTGATGAGCCTGACATTTATCCCCTGTATTCCCATCTCCCAGATTATTAACTTGATCTCTTCTCTTTAGACTTCCTCTGAAAGCCCTTTGGCATCAGAGTTTGTATTTCACTTGTGCTTACAGGAAAGAAAGAAGGTTCTTCCTAGAGTATTAGGGCCATGTTACACTTTATGCTGAAAGCTGCACAAATGCTAATCGGCTTAGTGTTGACTGGCTTACTGCAACAGTCAGACCTTAAGGCAAAAAACTGCTCTGACTGCCCCTCACCTGCACAGCTGACTTGCCACTAGAGGGTTGGTGAGCAGGGGCAGAACTAGGAGCTAGGGGCAGGACCAGCTCACAGCTCCTGCCAGGCAGAGCGAGTGCCGCAGCCCTGGAGTGCCTAGCAGCCACAGTGCCTCCTGCTACCACCCGCACCAGCTCCCTGTGCAGAGCAGCTTGTGTTCCCTATCTAAACAACCACTCTGGAGCTGCTGGGGGCAAACTCACAACTGTTCAGAGTGCCTGGTGGAATGAGCTGGTCTGGGGTGCTCCTGCTCCTACCAGCTCTGCTACTGGTGGGCAGAGTGAGCCAGTCGGGGGCACCACCACTCAAACTGGCTCACTCTGCCTGGTGTAGGCAGAGCTTGTCCAAGTGGTAGCAGGGGGCACCAGGGCTGTTGGGCATTCTGGGGCTGTGATGCTTGCTATACTCAACATGTCCAGGAGCCAAGGCACCATGCCCGGCTGTGCTGCACCCCGGCATCCCCCCTCACCCTGACTCAGGAGGGAGCCACTGCATCCTGGGATGCTGGAGGACTTCAGTTTGGGTGGAATAGCTGTCTGGAGTGGCCACACCTTAATAGAACAGCAAAATTAGGCAGATTAGAGATGATCCTGCTGTGAAGTGGTGTATCTTCAAGATGAATAATGAGTGTTTTAAGACACTTACAGGTGTTAACGTGCAGCCAGTCCAGGAGTTAAGAGCTCCAAAAGCCTCGTAAGATTACAATGTCACAAAGCCCTTACGTTCCCTTCGTGATCAGCCGGAGTCTCCCCACACTCTTCCATAGCCATCTGCTTCCTTCTCTGGATTTTCAAATGCTATTTCTATATTAGAAAGGAAAAGGATTGATTCCAAAGCCTCAGCTTGGATCTGCGGTGTGGCTGGCCTTCTCTTTCCTGGCCGACATGCCATACTGATAGCTGACAGATGAACGCACACAAGCACCGAAGAAGTCTGTTTTTATACTATTTCCAACCCAGCGTCACAGATCTGAGATTTTAAAATGGGCTTTGGATGCAAAATTAAACATTTGGGTGCTTAACTGAATGCCACCTTCAAACCTGTGGAGAATTTATTGTCCATGCCCTTTCCCAATTTTTCTTGGGCAATGCAATCATTGCCTGCTCCTTTATGATGTTCTTCTGTGCCTTTCTTTCAAGATTTCTGAGGAAAGTAGTAGTAGAGAAAATAATTAAAGCAATCTCACTCTGTCTTCTGAAGTGTACAATCCACTCAGAATGCCAGACCACTTGTGCTTATTAACCTGTGTTGCCAGCAGGTTCAGTCACTGCTCAATGATTATTGCTCTTGTAGTGAGAATTTGGAGAACTCAGCCCTCTTTCCCCATGCTAATGCTCTGCAGTGCATCTTCATTTCAAATCCCAAACCAAAATGGATGGGTTTGATTATTCAGGGCATGCAGCCTTTTAGGATGCCTGGGGTTTTTATTCTACCCAACCCGAAAGCCAAACCCTTTGGTAAAATTGGTTTCACACATAATGAGCTGGTTTCATCCTTTCCCTCCATCTTCCTAGACAAGCTCTACTCATTGTCTGTAGGCCTCATCATCCCCTTTTGCCTAATCAGTCCTTTGTGGGAGGGAGCGTGCCTCTTGTAGTCCTAAATTTCCCTTTCAGTTATTGTTTTTTGGAACAGCTTCCTGGCTCTTTTCCTGAACTTCAGGTCTTCAGGAATGCTGTCAGATAGGTCCATAAGCTCCTCTGGTCCAGAAAAAGGGTTACAGAGGTACAGATGTC